TGCCCTGGCGTCTGTGTCAGGAGCTGCTCGCACGAATCATTCACTTTACAGAATTAAAATTGACACTGAAGCCAAATGCGTTTACGGACTTTGTTTCCACGTCAACCACCGAGGAGCTTCCGGGAGCTTTCTGGGTACCTCGCGGGAAGGATCTTTAGCAAATTGCCGGAGCACGCACTCGAGGGCAGGGAGCTTTAAAAAGTCGGGCGGTGCCTCTGCTTCAGGTTATTTCTGCCCCGGCGGCGCGGGCTGCAGGCAGGTGTGGGTCTGCCCCATCCTGGGCTGCTCCGCGGGCGTCAGGGAACGGGCATTTTGTCCGGGAGGGGGGTGTCCCAGAATTGCACGTTCAGGAGGGGGCGTGTCTGTCAGGTGTCTCCGTCCCTGGCCCTGCGGGAGCCAACCTGCCCCCGCCCACCTCACGCCTGCCTGTTTGCTGAGTGCGCAGACTCAGTCGTGTGGCACCCGGGCTCTCAGAATCCCTGCTGGGACCCCTGTCCCCTGGACTCTCCCACACACCCCCACCCTGTCCCCTGGACTCTCCCACACACCCCCACCCTGTCCCCTGGACTCTCCCACAGCCCCCCACCCTGTCCCCTGGACTCCCCCACACCCCACCCTGTCCCCTGGACTCTCCCACACCTGTCCCCTGGACTCTCCCACACTCTCCTACCCTGTCCCCTGGACTCTCCCACACCCCCACCCTGTCCCTTGGACTCCCTCACACACCCCACCCTCAGCCCGGAGATCAGGGTTGACAGTGCAGATTGTCTTGGTTTGATGACAGGGACGTCTGAGCTGGCATAGGCTCAGGCTCGTGGAGCTGGTCCTGCGTCCTGCACCCCAGGGCTCTGTGACTGGAAGTCCCCACCAGGTAATATGACAAGTGACAACAGAGTGGTGGCCAAAACCACACACGGTGGATGGTTCCAGAGGCCAGAAGCCCAGTGCAGTCCCCCTGGGTAAACCCGAGCTGAGGCAGGCGGGTCGTCGGCCACTGAAGCGGTAAAACAGGTGCAGGTTTTGCTCAGTAACCACCAGGACAGGGACGGAGGCTCAGTGTGGACCCGGGACCCATCCCAACCCCCCCGCACAGACAGCCGGGACCCACGGCCCTGGGGGTGGGGGATGGAGAGTCTCTAAGACGAGTCGTAGAGATTGACGTGGAATTTGGACGTGTACATCTCTGGGGACGTTATTCTGTCTACCACATGGGATCGGGATGTGGACATCTCTGGGGACATTATTCTGTCTCCCACATGGGATTAGGACGTGGACATCTCTGGGGACGTTATTCTGTCTACCACATGGGATCAGGACGTGGACATCTCTGGGGACGTTATCCTGTCTACCACATGGGATTAGGACGTGGACATCTCTGGGGACATTATTCTGTCTCCCACATTGGATTAGGACGTGGACATCTCTGGGGACGTTATTCTGTCTCCCACATGGGATCAGGATGTGGACATCTCTGGGGACGTTATTCTGTCTCCCACATGGGATTAGGACGTGGACATCTCTGGAGACGTCACTCTGCCAACCACACCTTCCCAAGCCGAGTGTCCAGGGCCAGTGGTTACGGCTCCCGGATCCCGGGAGAGCTGTGGGGCGGGGCAGGTGCTGGGGCAGCCAGGTGACCAACAGACCCCACGTGTCAGGGACGCTTGTCACTCTGCCACCCTGCCTTGGGAGGAGCCCACGCACCCCACTGGCACGCCCCGGAGAGGCACAGAGGTTTTTTCTCCTATCCCTGGATGCTGACACTCTGGGACAACTCAAATGACGCTGGTCAGTCGTGGGCACACGTCTGAGGGAAAAGATCAACTAGCAAACCGTCCCCTGTACCCAAAAGGAAGGGGACTTCGGCGTTCCCTGCAGCCACCCTGCCGTGGTCCGGCCCTCCACCATGGGAGAGGGACAGGACGTCCCTGATGCCCCAGGGACCCTGGACGCTGTGCCGGGCGGACGTCCCTCTCGGCCTGGGGACCCGAGTCTGCAGAGGGGGCTGTGGCCACCCCTGGGGGGTTTGCACCCACACGTCACCTCCCGCGCATCGGAAAGATGGGAGCAGCTTTATTTTCCCTGTTGACGCACAGGGGGCGTGTGCCCGGCTGCCCCGGGGCGAGGCTGTCCCTGCGTGTGTCGGCGGGTGGCGTGTGAGGCCACCACCGCTGCCTTCTGTCTGCCGTCTGGCGCTTCCTCATGCACGGCGTTGGGGCTCTCTTGCACCCTGTGGTCGGGGGTCCCGGGCCGCCGGCACTCCGGTTTCTAGGCGTTTCCCCGACAACGCCGCGGGGAAAGCATGTGACCAGTGACACAGCCGGATGGGAGCCACCGTCCCCGCTTGTCCGCCACGGCCGAGGGTCCCAGCAAGCTGGGAAGGAGCCACGAACACGGCACGAGGGCTCACCGCCCCGCCACGGAAACCGCCCATCCCACCACGGAAACCGCCCATCCCGCCACGGAAACCGCCGGGGGGCCGAGCCGTGCCCCGCACCCCAAGGTGGCCGGACCCGTCCGGGGTGGCCGTGCGGCTGCCCACTCGGCGGCCGCTGCCATGGAAACGCCGAGGAGCGAGACAGAAGAGGCGGCCGCGCGAGTGACACTGCAAAGATGCGGCTCCGGCGTCCCGGCGACCGTCCTTTCATCCTGGGAAGAGCTTCCGGAACTTGCCGTAGGCGGCGTTGCTGATGAGGACCTTGACGTCGGCCGCCCCGTCCTCGGGGACGACGTCCACCGCTTGTACCGCGGCCTCCCGGTGCAGCCAGCTGTGGCGGCACACGGCCGGGACCGGAAGACGTGGTCAGCCGCGCGCAGGCTTGGCCCCGAGGCAGCGGGACCGTCCCAACCCCCGCCCGCCCCGGCCCCCTGCTCCGGGCTCTGGCTTCCCTGGTGGGGTGCGGGGTCGGGCAGGCGTTAGCGGTGGAGGGATCGGGTCAGGGTTAGCAGGTGCAGAATTGGGGTTAGGGTTAGCGGGTGCAGGGTCAGGGCCAGCGGGTTCAGAGTCAGGGTTAGTGGGTTAGGGTTAGGGTCAGGAGGTGCAGGGTCAGGGTCATCGGGGTCAGGGCCAGCAGGTTCAGAGTCAGGGTTAGTGGGTTAGGGTCAGGAGGTGCAGGGTCAGGATCATCAGGGTCAGGGCCAGCGGGTTCAGAGTCAGGGTTAGTGGGTTAGGGTTAGGGTCAGGAGGTGCAGGGTCAGGGCCAGCGGGTTCAGAGTCAGGGTTAGTGGGTTAGGTTTAGGGTCAGGAGGTGCAGGGTCAGGGTCATCAAGGTCAGGGTCAGCGGGCGCAGGGTCAGGGTTAGGGGTGCTGGGTCATGGTTAGCCGGGTCAGGGACAGAGGGTGCTGGGTCAGTGTTGGGGTGCACTGTCAGGGTCAGGGGTGCCATGTCAAGTTAGGGGTGCAGGGTCAGTGTTGGGGTGCACTGTCAGGGTTAGTGGGCAGGATCAGGGTTAGGGGTGCAGTGTCAGGGTTGGCGGTGCAGGGTCAGTGTTGGGGTGCACTGTCAGGATTAGAGGTGCAGGGTCAGGGTTAGGGATTCATGGTCAGCAGGTGCAGGGTCAAGGTCAGCAGGCACAGGGTCAGTGTACGTGGGTCACTGTCAGGGTTAGGGGTGCAGAGTCATGGTTAAGGGTGCCGGGTTAGGGGTGCAGTGTCAGGGTTAGGGGTGCCGGGTTAGAGGTGCAGTGTCAGGGGTGCCGGGTTAGAGGTGCAGTGTCAGGGTTAGGGGTGCCAGGTTAGAGGTGCAGTGTCAGGGTTAGGGGTGCCGGGTTAGAGGTGCAGTGTCAGGGTTAGGGGTGCAGGGTTGGGGTCAGGGGTGCAAGGTTAGGGGTGCCGGGTCAGGGTTAGGGGTGCAGGGTCAGGGTTAAGAATGCAGGGTCATAGTCAGCGATTGCAGGGTCAGGGTAGGGGTGCAAGGTCAGGTCACAGGGTCAGGGGTGCAGGGTCAGGGTTAGGGGTGCAGGCGAGGCCCCTGGACTCTGCACTGCGGAGCAGGACACGGACTACTTGGCCCGCACAGAAACCCGCTGCTGCTCCGTGCATCCTGGGGTCCTTGGCACACTCGGCTCTCCCCAGACACCCTCCCACCAGGTGCGCCTGCTCACCTGAGCTGGTCCCCTGCCAGCCGCACGCGCAGAGTGAGCACCCGTCTCCCGGTTGCTCTCAAAACAGCGTCTTCCAGCTCAGCTTTGAGCTGCTCCAGCCCGAGGCCCAGGAGGGCAGACACGGCCACGGCGCTGGGCTCAGCGGGGCTGTACCTGGGGGGACGTCCCACAGAGCCTGCTCAGCCCGGGGGGACGTCCCACGGAGCCCACTCAGCCCGAGGGGGACGTCCCACAGAGCCCGCTCGGCGGGGGCATCCCACAGACCCCGCTCAGCCCAGGGGGGGGAAGTCCCACAGAGCCCGCTCAGCCTGGGGAGGACGTCCCACAGACCCCGCTTGGCCCGCGGGGGACATCCCACAGACCCCGCTCAGCCCAGGGGGATGTCCCACAGACCCCGGGTTCAGCCCACGGGGGACGTCCCACAGACCCCGCTCAGCTAGGGGGGACGTCCCACAGACCCCGCTCGGCCCGGGGGGACGTCCCACAGACCCCGTTCAGCCCACGGGGGATGTCCCACAGACCCCGCTCAGCTAGGGGGGACGTCCCACAGACCCCGCTCGGCCCGGGGGGACGTCCCACAGACCCCGTTCAGCCCACGGGGGACGTCCCACAGACCCCGCTCAGCCTGGGGGGATGTCCCACAGACCCCACTAGCCTGGGGGGGACGTCCCATAGACCCCACCCAGCCCGGGGGGGACATCCCACAGACCCCACTCAGCCCGGGGGGGGGGGACTCCTGGGGGGGACGTCCCATAGACTCTGCTCAGCCTGGGGGGACGTCCCACAGACCCCACTAAGCCTGGGGGGATGTCCCACAGAGCCTGCTCAGCCTGGGGGGATGTCTCACAGAGAGAACGGTCCCCAAGAGTCACCCGCCTGAGGGGCTCTCAGCCTTCAGGGGCCACCTGCCCAGAGGAGTCCTGAGTCACCCACGGGGCTGAGACCACCTGCCAGAGAGAGGTCCCCGAGTCACCCGCCCATGGGGCCTGTGCCCCGGCTGTGACCCCAGTAACAGGAGAGGCCTGTCCACAGCAGCTGAGCATGGGGGTGACAACCAGAAAGGCGGGAAGACAGCTGGGACAGACTGTGGCAGGGAACTGACCACTGTGGGTTCACCCCACCCCACCAGCACATTGTGGGTGACAATGGCCACGGGCACCAGGGTTGGGGCGGTTGGGGGAGCCCCAGACCCACCTGTTCGGGTCCGAGCATGGGGGACCCCAGAGCAGCTGCCCCCCGAGGGGGGACATAGCCGTGGGCCCCACTCACCCGGGCACCAGGTCCACCTTGTTGTGCACCTCCACCATGGTGTCCAGCAGCACGTCCGGCAGACGCAGCCCGCGCAGAGCCGCCAGCACGCTGGCCTTCTGGCGCTCGGCCTCGGGGTGGCTGACGTCCCTCACGTGCACGATCAGGTCCTGCGGGGCGGGCCGGGCGGGCGGTCAGAGCTGCGGGGCTACCGTGCCAGCCCTGCGTCTGGGCAGGGGCTGGGACGCGCCCCCCATCCCGCCCGCCCGCCCCCCGGACTGCATTCAGGGCTCCGGCTGCCGTGTCCTTTGGTGAGAACTCGCAAAAGACATTTAGAGCATTTCACGTTTGAAAGCTTGCTTTTCCCCCAGAGGGTTTGCAGAGAAGGGCCTCCTGCAAAATCTGCAAAACACGGGAAAGCAAAGGCGCCTGGGTGGCCCTGCCGCCAGAGAGAGGTCCCACGTCCGCTGCGGGGACTCACGCCGGGGTTCCGGCTGGCTTTTGGGTTGGATGCACCCACAGTGTTTTAAATCATCTACTCTAGAAAGATTGTAGACTCTCAGAGAACTTGCCAGGACAGGGGAGAGCCCCCGCGGGCCCTCAGCCTCCTCCCTGCTGTCCCTGCAGCATGTCGAGCGAGGGTCACCAAGGCGGCACGGCACACGCCAGTCACCAGGCTTCGCCCCGACTTTTCGCCAGCTTTTCCCTGACGTCCCGTCCTCTGCCCGGAGTCCCCTGTGGCTCCTGTGTCCCCCGCCCGGCCTGCCCAGGCTCCCCGGGGAGCTGCTGCGCTCGGCCCTGCGTCCTGCCTGTGTCTGGGGACCCCGGGTCGTGTGAGTGTCTGGGACCCCGGCCCCCCAGTTGTGTGAATGTCCGGGACCCTGGCCCATGAGAGTGGGGACCCCGGCCCCAGGGTCGTGTGAGTGTCTGGGGACCCCGGCCCCCGGGTCGTGTGAGTGTCTGGGGACCCTGGCCCCCAGGTCGTGTGAGTGACTTGGACCCCGGCCCCCGGGTCGTGTGAGTGTCTGGGGACCCTGGCCCCCAGGTCGTGTGAGTGACTTGGACCCCGGCCCCCGGGTCGTGTGAGCGTCTGGGACCTCGGCCCCCGGGTCGTGTGAGTGAGTGGGGACCCCGGCCCCCGGGTCGTGTGAGCGTCTGGGACCTCGGCCCCCGGGTCGTGTGAGTGAGTGGGGACCCCGGCCCCACGGTCGTGTGAGTGTCTGGGGACCCCGGCCCCCGGGTCGTGTGAGTGTCTGGGGACCCTGGCCCCCAGGTCGTGTGAGTGACTTGGACCCCGGCCCCCGGGTCGTGTGAGTGTCTGGGGACCCCGGCCCCCGGGTCGTGTGAGTGAGTGGGGACCCCGGCCCCCGGGTCGTGTGAGTGAGTGGGGAACCCCGGCCCCCCGGCGTCGTGTGGTGTCTGGGACCGGCCCTCGGGTGTGTGAGCGTCCGGGACTCGGCCCCCCCGGGTCCGTGTGAGTGAAGTTGGGACCGCCCCGGGTCGTGTGAGCGTCAGGGACCCCGGCCCCGGTCCGTGTGAGTGAGTGGGGACCCCCGGCCCCCCGGTCGTGTGAAGTGAGTGGGGGACCCCGGCCCGGGTCCGGTTGAAGTGTCTGGGGACCCCGGCCCCCCGGGTGGTGTGAGCGTCTGGAATCAGCCCGTTCGTGTGAGTGAGTGGGGGACCCCCGGCCCCCGGGTCGTGTGGTTGAGTTGGGGACCCGCGGGTGGTGTGAGTGTCCGGGACCCGGCCCCGCCCCGCTCACCGAGTGGGCCACGTCCTCCAGGGTGGCGGAGAAGGACTCGATGAGGCCGTGCGGCAGCTCGGACAGGAAGCCGATGGTGTCCACGTACAGCACGGCCAGCCGCGAGGGCAGCCAGCCCGCGTGGGCCGTGACGTCCAGCGTGGCGAACAGCTGGTCCCGCGGCTGCATGGCCGCGTCGCCCGTCAGCGCCTTGATCAGCGTGGTCTTGCCTAGGGCGAGGCCGGGCGTTGGCGGCCGGGAGACCCCGCGTCCCCCTTCCTGCAGGTGCACGCGGGCGCCGCCCTGGGACCCCGTCCCTGCTGGCCCGGGCCGGGGCCGCGCAGACTCGGGGACGCTCAGACCCGCGGGGGACCGGCGGTGGACGGACCACGCCGCTCGTCCCTTGGGTCAGGGGGAGGGCAGCATTCAGCCACCGGAGCACACGGGGTCGGCTTCCACGGAAGGGGGCTGGTGGCGTCGGGTGGGGGACCGCGTACTTGAGGGCCCGGCCAATGGCGCACGCTCCTGCGCGCCGCACACAACACGGCCAGATCCGGGACGCTACTGGACCCGTCCATATACAATCATTACTTATATATTGTTTTTTGGAACAGAGTCTCGTCGCCCTGCCGCTAGAGTGATGCCGTGGCGTCAGCCTAGCCACACACGTCAGCTCTGGGCGCGTTCTGGCGTGGCCGTCCGAGTAGCTGGCCAACAACAACACAACACACAATGCCCGTTAGTTTTTTCTATACTACACATCCTGATTGC